GCGCGGCGTCACCGACGCCGGCGGGGCCCCGGCTGCAGAGGCGCGGCGGCTGGACGGGCGGTGGGTGGAAGCCGTTCTGCAGCAGCCCGTTCACCGCAGCAGCGCCAGCGCCCGGGGGGGTCGCCGGGGCGTGAAGGGCTGAGCGTTCAGCCTGTCCACCGTAGTCTCCCATACTGGAGGCTGGTGGGACAGCGCGCGGGCCCCGCCTCAGGCGGCCTCGCTGGAGGTCATTCTCGGACGTCTTTATTTCCCCGGATCCTCCCTGCGGCTTCCGATTCAGCAGCCGCAGAGCCGGCGCCGGGGGATGGCGAGCTGAGCGCTCCTCCCCTCCTCCTACCGGCTCCACCAGCTCCTCCGCGTCCTGCCCCCCGCATGCGGTCTCCGCCCCACCCGCCTGAAGCATGCCCGCCCCCGGCGCGGAATCTGAGATTTCCGCGCACCCCCAACCGGGGCCCCCGCAGCCCACCTCCCTCCGATCCACGAGCCGCGCGACTTCAAACGCGGCTTCCTCGCTTCCCAGACCTGTCCCTGCTACTGAGCATGCCCAGTCCTGCCCGCCACCGCCGCCGACGACTTTCAACATGGGGACTGAAGTTCTCTGGGTTTGCAAAGAGATGGGCGGGTTGGGCTTTGTCTAGCCGAGCGAGCAGAGAGGAGACTGGACGAGGTGGGCGAGAGAGAAACGAGAAGCTTCCGGAGGAATGCAGGAGGAAGACGTTAAATATTTGTAGAGGTTTCGGGTTTGTTAATCTTGTCCCTGGTGGGCTAGATACCTCTGCAAGGTCATTCACGTCGTTCCCACCCTCAAACCTTTGTGAGTGTGCCTGTGTTTGGTTAAGTGACTAAACTACTCACAGTCCTGAGAGGAGGGAGGAGACCGATTATTTTTAGAAGGGTAGGATGATTTGGAGAGGGAGAGGAGTACATTTCTCTGCTGGCACAAACACAAGCACCATGTGGTCTCGTGGAGTTATCTTTTGCAGAGAGGAAACCTAGGAATACAGTGTAAGGACAGTGAAGGACACAGCTGTAGGCAGGATTAACAAGTGCTGGAAGAGACCAAGTAAACAGAAGCAGTCCCAGCTACAAAAAGCACTTTCCTCATCCAGAAAGGACTCGAAGAGACAATGTCATGCTATTTCCGCATCGAATGGTGGTGAACTCCATAAGCTTTGGAGTCGAAACTGGGTTCAAATCTCAATTTAGCCATTGAGCAAACCCAGAGAAAGTCATTGCTGAAGTTAACACACCTGGCCATACAAAACAGGACTGGGCATGCTTAATTAAAGGCAGGACAAATTTGGGCGGTACAGACCTTCCCAAAATTGTGTAATCCCCGAGGCCTAAATTTTTTAATCTAAAAGTACCTGGTACAATGTCACAGGGTAAATGCCCAGAAGAGGTCATTATTCTTATTACATTGTTAGTAGTTCACCCTTCATTTCAAACAAGAGAAACAAACCATGCTTGCAGCCATATTTATAGTGTGATTTATTGTGCGTGATGTTCTCCATCATTTGTGCTTAATCTAAAGAGGAGTCAGGGGCCTGCGTGTGTTCAGCAGCAGCCAGGGCCTGCAGCTCAGATTGGGCAGTGCCTTCCAGCAGAGGCTTATCTAGCTAGAATCAGAGATTTAGAACCAGTGCCCACTCATTCTTTTTCCCCCCAGATAAGGAAACTGAGCCACAGAGAGATGGCGGCTGAGGTTATTAAGAGCAAAGCCAGCTTTGGCTGGTGTGGCTCAGTGGATTGAGTGGCAGCCTGTGAACAGAAAGGTCTGGTTGATTCCCAGTCAGGGCACATTCCTGGGTTATGGGCTATGGTTCTCTCCCTCTCACTCTCCCTCCTTTCCCCTCTCTAAAAATAAGTAAATAAAATATTTTAAATTTTTTAAAATTTTATTTAAATTGTTGTTGCAGTACAATTTTCTATCCAATTTTAAATTTTTAAGAAGAACAAAGCTAGGACTAAACCCTAAATCTCCTAATTATTTGCTTCCCTAACCTTATTATATTTGAAGACAGAAAAAAACCTAGGTGGTGTGGCCTCTGCCTACCTTTTTCCCTCATCTTGGGCTCCCTGTGCTCTCTGTCTATAAAAGAGACAGCCTTTCTGTCCCTCAAATGATCATCCCTTTGCATCTGCTGTTTCCATTGCCTAAAAATCTCTTCCCCCAGAACTCTGTCTACTGGATTCAAACTCAGGCCTCAGATCTCCACTTCAATCTCTTATGTTTAGAGAAATCTTCCCTGACCCTTACAACTAGATTAGGTCTCCCTGCTCCCTACACTTTTACCTCCCTGACTCTATAGTTATAACTCTATAATGGGAATAATAATAGAACACTACTGAGTTGTTACAATGATGAAATAAACATATACCTTTAAAGTGCCCAGCACAACATAAGTGCTATGAAAAAGTTAGATAGTATTATTAGGTTGTCCATCTCCCCCAACTATACTGTAGTCACCATTAAGGAAAATGACTTTTGTTCATCACTGTATCCCTAAAAAGCTCTTACTAATTATGTGTGACAATAAATGACAGGTGATATTTCACCCAGGGTATCTCTTACTTTCTATTGTAAATTTGCTTTAAAAAAAACACCTCTATTGCTACTCCTAAATATTCAAATATATAGTTTTCAAATTCCTACATAATTTAAACTGAGTAGTTTAGGCAGCAGTTTACATCAGAGATGCAAATAGAAGGATTAGCAATGCAGAATCTCCAAGGACATAATCTCTCCAACTTGATGCCCAGGCATGGTGAGGAAGGCCGGAGCCAGGTGGCTTAGAGCCAGGCAGGGCAGAAGTGCTGGTACTGGGGACAGAACGTCCTCCGCCTGCTTCCTTTCTGCCGCCCTTGTCAGGATGGTGTCCTGGATCAGTTACACCCAGCATGGACATGTGGTCAGGAGGAAGCCAGGTGGCATCTCAGAGGTTTATTTGAAGGTGGGGGGGAGGTGTCAGAGGTGTAACTTTGAGCATGAGCTATCCTGCTCCAGCAGGGGATGGAACAAATAATGTTTGGAAGGGAGTGAGGGAGAAGGGACCCCACAGCCTCTTCTCTCCCTCTGTTAATTCATTCACTTATTTGCCAATTACATGTCAAGTGTGTACTATGTTGCAGACACTAAGACAGATGCCTTCACTGCCCTAGGGCCATACAATTCTTGGAGAGAGGTAAGTCAAGTGTTCTCTAGCATCAGTGTATGTAAGAATAAACCAGGGAGCCCTGGCTGGTATAGCTCACAGGATTGAGCACAGGCTGCGAACCAAAGGGTTGCCAGTTTGATTCCTAGTCAAAGCATATGCCTGGGTTGCAGGCCAGGTCCCCAGTACAGGGTGCGGGAGAGGCAAGCACACACTGATGTTTCTCTTCCTCTCTTTCTCCTCTTCCCCTCTCTCTAAAAATGGATAAATAAAATCTTAAAAAAAAAAAAGAATAAACCAGGGAGTTTTTCCTGGTCAACATTTTGTTGAAAATCATACATGTAGAAATGTATCCTAAGGGTAGAGCTCAATGACTTTTGCAACAAATAAATGCCCTGTGTAAACTGCACCTGATCAAGAAATAACATTACCAGTAACCTAGGAGATTTTTTAAGAAAGGTCCTGGGCTAAAGCCCGGAGACTGATTCAGTAGGTTTAGAGAACAGGTATCTGCATAGTGATGATGATGATGAAGAAGAAGAATATATTTTAAATTAAATAAAACTAACAATTTTTTTAAAAAAATGAGATTATGATGTAAATGGTCTTTGCTCAGAGAAGCAATGAACGAAGTAAAATATGTCACCTATGCTATAGGAGGCGTGAACAAAAAAGGGGCTGTGTAATAAGTAAATGTAACCAAAAGTAACTTCACAAGCTTATCTGATGATAAATTCCTACCAGGGCAGGCCATGGTAGGTAGTCATGTCCCAGGCCTATAAAGGTTTTATATTCACCTTAAGCAAGCCCTGCCCATCTAGGTTTTAACATGTAAAATAAAATATACAGAAAAGGGGCAAGACCTTCTACCTATATCCTCTCTGGGCCTTATACCTTAAAAAGGACGGCCCTTTAACAATACAGATATGATGATGATATTCTGATAGCAAAAACAAAGTCCCTACCCCTTACCTAGATTACCGTAAAGACAGGCCTTAAGCACACAATCACCACAGAAGCAAAGGTATAAGCACAATATGCGACATGCAGGAAAGGTAAGGCTCCCAGTGTCCTGAGGACACATACCAGGGTGACCTGGCCTAGTCTTAAACTTTCATAGATTACATGATATTTAAGCTGAATTCTGAATATTGAGTAGAAGTTAGCCAAGGTGGGTGTGAGTGTAGAGGAGGTATTCTTAGTCTGTCCTATATTTTAACTATGGTAGGTACTTCTTAAATACTTGCTGAACAAAAGAATAAGTTGACTCTGAACTTCTCAGTAGGCCAAATCAAACGTAAGGAAATTATTCACTGGAATAAACCACTGGAGAAAGGTTAGGCCAATCTCTTTCTCTTTACTGCCCTATATCAATTGCTTTTCTCTCTGGTGATGAAGTATTTTCTACTCAATACTCTTGTTGCCTATTTAAATTTTATTTTTTTTCCCCAGTCAACAGAGATGGAAAAATAGCACCAGCAGCTGCCACTACCAGTAATAACTTTGTGTACAGGAATGAAACACAGCCTACAGGAACAAACTTCCTGTCAGTCACTAATAGTCTTTGAGCACCTACTAATTATGATTTGGTGAAGGTTGGGGAGTATGGCTACCTAGAAGTTCAATAAGCTATGATCAGAGTAACCCCAAGCATAATTTTAGGAATGGAGCTGGGTTTAGCAAAATTATGTTACTATCTAATATTTACTGAGTCCTTCTATGCCATACACCGTACTAAGCACACTAAGTGCCATCTTCTTTTTTATTGTTATCCTAATACAGTTGCCCCAATTTTTCCCCCTTTGCCCTCTTCCACCCACCCCACCTCCTGCTCCCACAGTCAAAAAAAATAAGGAATACTTCACAAATTTGTGTGTCATCCTTGGGCAGGTGCCATGCTATTCTCTGTATCTTTCCAGCGTCAGTGTATGTGCGGCCAACACAAGCACCTAAGTGCCACCTTTTTCATCGGCACAGTAGCCATGTGAGCTGGGTCCTATTATTATTCTCATATTGCAGATGAGGGAACTGAAGGTTAGAGAGGTTCATGAACTTGCTGACGTTCATGCAGCAGAAAATGTATAACTGACATTTGAACTCAGGTCTAGGTGGTTCTAGAAACTGCACAATTCCTAGCTGTAGTGCCTCACAAAAGGCGGTGTTCATCCCGTTACCGGCAGATTTTGCACCGTGGCTGCAAACACCTGATATACTATTCCCCTGTCTGCGTAGCATTGCCTTTCATAACAATTATTGGGTCCCTTTATTTCTCACTAAATTTTTTTGCAGTCTAACATCTTAGATTCTTCCGAAAGAGTCTTTTTTTCCACTTTTTAAAAATGTTTTAGCTACAACAATCTCTACTATGGCCATCTCTATTTTGTATATCTGTTCAACGAACATTTTTAAATGATGCCACTATGTGCAAGCTACTGTTTCAAGTGCTAAGGTTACAGTGATGATCCAGGCAGAAAAGTCCCGCCTGTCATGGCGCATACATTCTCAGGGGCATGGACAGGAGATGACAGGGAATAAGCAGGTACAAGTAAATAAGTATAGATGTTACTAAGTGACATAAAAAATAAACAAGGCAAAAGGATAGAGAATGACAGAGTGGGGGCAGTTTAGATGGGGGTAGTTCAGGAAGCCTCACTGATGCTGGTACCACAGGGTTGAGAGATTGAGATGAGATCTGTCACGTAAAGCGGTTTGGAAAAGCATTTCAGCATGTGAAAGAGGGAAAATCGTATGTATAATCTGCATGTGTGTGTATGTGTGTGTTTGTGTTCATGTCTCCAAAACTAAAGTCCCGGTGTTTGGAGATGCTGGTGACAACCTTTGAGCGTGATAGCAGTGGTGGGGTGAGTCTTATGTTAGGGCCCCAGCATTCAGAGCATTCAGATTTGTCACATTGCTTCCCTGTTTTCCAGGTAGAAGTCCCTCTGAATAGTGAAGGTTCTGTAGCTGCAAATAATAAAAGTGACTTTAAGTCATGTCAGCATTGAATGAATTAATAGAGGGAACTGGATGGAAAGACTGAAAGAATAGGCTCTAGCCTGGGCTCCCTGCAGTGCCTCCCCAAATTTTGCCAGAATTAGCTTATTAGGGAAGGAGGCTGCTAGTTCAGGTTCAAGAGCAAAACAAGAAGTTGGGACTCACTACTCTTACATCGCCAAAACTCTGTTTATTGGCCAAAACTCATTGAATTGTGCACTTACATTGATGAAATTGATTGTATTTAGGTTATATCTTAGGAAAGCTAACCCAGAAAATAAAGGATAGAATTGGAGAGAGCTGGATGTGGAGGCATATTAATATATATAATGTTTTAACATTATACAATGCTTTTTTGTATACCAAATATTTTCACATAGTCTTATTAAAATGAAAACTATGACCATTTCAAGAAACCAGTGAGATAAATAAGATCCTGTGTCCATTTTATATATGAGGAAAATAGGCCCGCAGAGGCTGATTAAGTGGTTTGTCCAGTATCATAGGGCTGCTGCATAGATGAGGCAGAATCTCTTCCACGTTTCGCCTCTGCAGTTTTCAAATACTTAAAAGTTGCTTACAAAAACTGAAGGAGAGAGAAGCAACACTTTCATAGAACACAAAAGTTCTCCCACATGCTGGTCTTCCATGACCTGGAATAAAAATGAAAAAAGTGATACCTTAAATCACAATAACTAGAACAGAACCTCTGAGAAGCAAGAAAAGTTTTAAAATATCCCATCTTTGACTGCAATGCTCTTTTAAGTTGCTCTAAGACTTGAGCTTTGACTCTACTGAGAATATAATGTTCTACATTTCCTGTTTTTACCAGGGTCTGTGTTCCCAACTTTCACGCGTGCTCAGAGCCTCCGCCTGCTGTCCGCTCGCTGTGCTCAGTCAGGCCAGAGGTCCGGCTCCTGCAGGCTGTCTTTCTCAGGTCCCTGCGGTCTTCCTGCTGGCTGAAGTCCATGGGAGGCACTGGTGAGGGAATGGCAGGATCCTCCTCTCCTCCCTTCTTTACCTTGGGAGGCATCTTCCAAGCCGCTGCCCCTCTTCTGGGGTATCCTTGATTCTGTCTTTTACTGGGTGATCTTAACTCCTGGGGTCCAATTACACCACTTTTTCTTTTATTTTTTTAAAGAACATTTATTTATTTATTTATTTGTAGAGAATGGGGAAGGGAGGAAGACCCACAGTCCCTCCCTTTGTACGTCCAGGTTGGTTTCTCTTCTCCTGATTGGACCTTGAGCGATAGACAGTCTGTTCTGTTGACTCAGGATTAGATCTACGACTATTCCTGGAAACAGTGTGAAGGCTTTAACCACTTAACTTTACATCCCTTTACAGCCCACCCCTGAGGCACATTTAGACTTGAAATCCATTATTCCATTCCGGGTTGGGCCAGGAATTCCATTCTATTCGTGTCAGAAATACAACCCTTAGAAAATTACAATTTATTTATCAAATCAGCTGGTCTGTGATCATCTAACAACTGAAATAATGTATTTAATAGGTCCGGAATCCCTGAATAAACATTTAGTTGCCCATTTGTCACACAACATTTAGCATGTTAAATTAGTATAGTGGAGATTTTATTAGTTGGCATAATTAACACTAATTTCTGTAATAAATAACTCCAAAATCTGAGTAGCTTCACATAATAAATGTTTATTTGTAGCTCACAAAGAGTTGAATGCGGACAGCTGGGGCTTTCTGCTCCGGGCAGTCACTTGGGAACCTAGCGTTGCGCTGGATGTTGACACCCAGCTAGCAGACGAGGAACAGAGAGGACACAGAGGGTTGTGGGCACGTTTTAGGCAATAGGCCTGGGAGCAACGTATATCAACTTGGTCCACATCTCACTGGCCAGAACTCAATCATGTGGCCCCTACCTAACTGCCAGAGAGGCTGAGAAATGCAGTTTGACTTAATGCATACGAGAAAAAAGAAATGACCTTGGGAAATACATGGTCAGTCTCAGCTGCCCTTCTGGTCAATAACTTTGTTTCACTCCTCCTTCCACAGATGAACTAAACTCTTCCACCACCACCACCCCTAACCCCCAGAACATTATCCAAAGCCGGGTGGTGCTCAGTCATCTCCATCTGGTCCACATGTGGTAATTTTTTGGTTGATTAAGTTATAAACTAAAAAGAAGAGGCATTTGGGAAATGTCTTTTATTGGATTCTGTTTCCCCTCTATGATAGGAATTATTTTGTCCATACTTTTCTCTGTTCCCTGGTTCCACTCTTTGGGACTTTCTTTTGTTGATTATTCTCCATGGCAATACCCAAAGTGGTTGATGAGAAGTCAGTTATCTCTGGGGCTATGCAGGTTTTAGAGTCAGCTTCCTCATATGGAAAACTATGAGCCCGAGACTGTTCATTGTTTTAGGCCTTTGTTTCCTTTAGAAATACTCTTTCTTCATAAACTTGACAGGCCTCTCATTGATTTCCTTCTGCACGGTTCTTATGGCACAAACTGTACCCCAAATACTGTCCTAGACATAGCTTCTCAGTCTTCTTTGTCTTTTTTCCCCTTTTCCTTAAGTTTCTCTCAACTTAATGGCAGTCACCTGGATGCCGTCTGGATTGAGTGGGAGGGCCACAACTTGAATGACATCTTTGCCATAATGTGGTCCTCTAGCAGGCCTTTGCTGCTACAGTTTTCTCAATGTTATTTCCTACTACTTGGGGCCTAGGAGACTTCGAGACCTCAAATTTATATAATTTTCCTGTTTTATTTCTTCCTGCACACTGCCTAAAGTCGCCAACCAATAGTGGCCAATGTACACTGATAGTTTGATTCTTTCCAACTGCTTCTCTTGGAGCTGACAGATCAGTGAGAAGATGGCTGACTCTTATGTTATTACAAGCGAGGATTTTTGTCAAATGTTTGGCTGTTGCACAGCATGGATTGCCACCTTTTCTGCCTCTGCAGTCAGTTTCCTTTGTTCCCACCACTGGCATGCTAAATCAGTATCACTTATTTTAGATTTGTGTTTTCCTAGTGCCCTACTTTAAGGTCCCATTTGGGGTGTTTTCATTATAGTAGTAATGCTAGATCTGTAAAATGAACTTCCAAATCTTGGTGTTTTAAGACAAAGACATGATGAAGTTAATTTCTCACTCTGTAACCCAATGTAGGTAGGAGAAGGGGGCTGAGAGGAAACTGCATCATGCAGTCAAGCAGAGCCTAAGCTAACAGAGGCTCCCTCATCTTCAATGTCTGACTCCCGGTTTCTCGGAGCATAGATGTCCAGCTAGCAGCTGGGAGAGGACAGAGAGCGTGGATGATCACATGGGATTTTTTAGAAGCCAGCTCTGTGAGTGGCACATACTTCAGTAGTTTCAGAAAAAGCCTTGGGATTGGCTCTGATGGTCCTGCGGAGTCATCAGTGTCCTTTAACTGATCCATGTAAATAGGGAGTTCAGGCTTCCCTTACCAGGACTGTGTCGCATGCTTAACCCTAGAGCTAGAGGCCAGGGTTAACTCCCTCTGAGGTTGTACTGAGAGATACAAGATGTAGTTCCTTCAAATAAACCACCAGAAGAAGGGAAAGGAGGTATTGGAAAGTCAACCCAATAGGTGTTTATTACACAAGCTTAAAATCTTGACTGACTGATTCACAGGAGGAGCACAGGAACAGATAGGAGAGAATGATGGAACAACAACCCCCTAAAGCAGGGCCAAGGAATCATTTCCCACTTTCTCATGAGAGTACTTCCCTTCACCTACCTGGTGGCCTCCTGTATCATGAAACCACCAGGGCATGTATTGAGTCCCAGGACATTTATATCGATTCCCTGCCTTGAAAAGATTATGTACCTTCACTCCATGAAAAGTCATCATGTGGAATATTCTTTCCTTTCCCACCTCCAAGCTTCTCTAGGAGTTACGCTTAGCAACTCCCAAACACAGTCTCATGGACACAGTAACTCTCACATAAAGCAA